TAATAATGCGTGGGATATGAGAGACATGTCAGACATCCCTAGTTCTTCCTCCCTCCCAACCCCCCCCCTCTCCTTCCCCATCTCTCCTCCTTCATTTTTTTTTTTTTTTAATGTTTTTCAGAATAAAAAGAGTGGACATTTAAAAATGAGGGATGATTTCATGCAACGATTGTATAGTAGTATAATGCAACCATCTTCAAAAATCATATTAGAGACATTTATTTGGCACGAATATTTAAATGTATACTCTTTTCATTCTCAAGAACAATTACAAAAAGGAAAATTTTGAAAAAATGCTATAGAAAGTTCTCATTCTCGCCCAATTATTGTAAGCCGTCCATTTTATTGAGATGGTTAGATATAGGGTTCAGAAGGATTTTTTTATTCCCAAAATTTTTATATAGCGTTATCATCATTAGATTAATAATTCTAAAGAAAAAAAAAAAAGGGATTTTGAATTTATTAAGGCCTAGATATTGAAATTCACCAAATGGATGGTCGATATTCATTGTTGGATGGATACTAATTTTGAACATATCAAAGGTACAAATTGATTTTTTTTTTTTCATAGGATTGATTATGAGAATGGAGAGAATGTGTGTGCAAAATTTGGGGTCATACAAATGCCAAAAATATGGTTTTCTAGAGGTATGGTTGCATTATACTACTATACAACCGTTGCATTAGATCATTTCCCCATCCTCATATATATATATGGAAAAGTCTTCCCAACGCCTATAGGCGAAAATGAACAGTGATTTCGCCTACCCTCATCACTGTCCAAAGTTCATCGCACGTCACGATTGTTCGGTAGTATTTCACTTTTTATTTTTTTTACAAATCAGAATGATATGAAATTTAGAGCTTGTGTACATATTAGTGAGATACACCTAATAAAACTATAAAAAAAATAATTTGCACAAACAAAATTGACCAAAATACCTCCAAAATTATTTGAGGGTATTTTGGTCATTTTTTTTATGTAAAATATGTTTTTGATATTTTTCGTAGATTCGTCTATGTGTT